TAATTAATGTACACGGCGTGCCACCAGAGAAACATACCAGAAAAGAAGTGTAGTATCCAATGAATGATATCCCACGCTTGACCATTATGTGACGTAACTTTTGTCAGCATAGAATTGACTATTGTACAGCATCAAAATGTTCCTTTTACATGTAAGGGATAACACTATCTGTCATAAATAATTATATTTGTTTGAAATTGAATTAAATTAAGTATAATACAGTAACATATGTGAGAAATGTTAATATTCATAATATTTATTTCATGCCTTTGTTATGAATGACAGAAAAAACATATTATGTGGTCTAAGCGTAGACATCTCACAAAACTGTATCTCTTTATAGCAAGATATCTGTTTAATTAAATTCATTGACAACAAGACGAAACAATGCCTATTTAATACCAAACAGTTTATACTGCGGGAGTGATATAACTTTTCAAAGCGAGAACATGATGGTGAGGACAACACACAGTATCATGATATACAACATCGTCATGATAACCTATCATGGATTATATCACACTATAATGACCTAACTTTTAAGACATAAATTAGTACTTGACGCCATTTAATCATCCTTTAATTGGTAATGTACTATTACATTACGTTATTGCCTTCGGTCTATTTTTTAAATAAACATTATTAGCTAACTTTGACATTGATTTATGGTGCAAATATCTTGACCTCGGACACATGACATCAGATTAACAAAATACTTTTCAGTGATATTAAATTATATTCTATTGCTGTTCACGTATACAGGAAAACTCTTTATCCTATCATGACAGTATTAAGTAACCTATTATTTTTTTTTAAATATGGAATTGCATGTCATACGGTGGTGTTCCGTGATCTATTTCATCTTATAATGAAACCACATAAGCATTTTATCATTTCGCTTTCAAAACACTTAATCCGTTTTTTAATACCCTTTTCCATTTTCCAGTAGATTATACTTTAATCATTGAAAGACATCTTACGGCCCGTCAGATTGCAAATGCATTCATGTATCAAATATTGTAAAGAAAATCAAGTAAACACACTATTTTTAAAACGCAACAACAGACATCAAGTCATTCGGTTGAGAAAACGAGCGACATTTGTACATGAATTTTATTTTGTATTACTTACCTTGATACTGTTTCAATGATATCTTATTATCATTGTTTTCATGTTAACATATTAAATTAGATATTAAATAATAGACAAGAAGCTGCTATTTACTTGAGTGATTTTTTCTACAATCTCATCTAGTGAAACCATAATTGTTTTAATCGTGACGACATCTATGGATGCCATATTTATGAATGAACGTCAGTGAAATTATATATATATATAATGTAAATCTAGTCACAAATATTGACTTTTTAAACAATTGAAAAGGTAAATAAATGTTTTGCATGGAACATGTTCATAATGTTTGATCTAGCATTCGACTGTTATATGAAACATCTATGATGATACTTATACTTAAACTGAAAGGACAAGGTGTCGATTACTGTATCGTATTTATAATTCAGGACTTTTGGTGAGTACGAGGTAAGCAAAAATGTTATATAGGTATTTGTTGTGAATTCATTGTGAAATACTTGTCATCTGTGTACATATTACATTATATAACGTGTTCTGAAGTATTCTAGAATGATATAATCTGTCAAATTATATATATTTTTATATGAATTATATATGTCTGCCATACATGTATCATAAATACGTTTTAATCTCTTAATAACCTGAAATACCCCATATATATTTTTATAAGATCAATTGTTTTCATTCTATAACAAAAAATAATCAAGCGTGGTTTTAAAAAACTATTTTAAAGGACAGTTAACGACTGAAGTAACGCATAACACTAAATCAATCCTAAAGTCATACCCGTTAAATGCTGAAAGAAACACAAAGTAAGTACATTGTCTATCGTGGTGTAGATCGTGCTCGTCAGCCACTTATGAATTAAATCTATAAGGACCCACACATTGCTGACTCATTTGATATGAAGAGTACAGATTAACAGATGATCAACATGCTTTCAATACTACGTAACTTCGTCCTACCCTTGGAGACGAAATATTGAATCGATGAAACTGGAAATAGATGGCTCCATTGATAATTGATTCATGGAGTCCTGTGACTGCATGTAGTATACAATAGCTCCATCTAGACTTTGATAATATGATAAAATGAGGTAAAAAATGATTCAATATTCTTACCTAGACCTTGGAATTGAATGATTTTTCCTTGATATTCGTCTTTCTCGTACATTCAATTAAACATAAATCGTTCAACATGTGTACATGGTTACGCTTGATCATTTTCCATGATCATAATGAAAAGTGTTTTTTACATAATATTTTATAGGCATATATTTCGAAGAATCCTTTTCTTCTTGGCCAAATTAACCGGACAACAAAAGGTCTTTGTCTGTGACAAGATAGTTCAGAGCATTGCAGGTAGATGAAGATTTTATATCTACTTTTATTGTGTTTTCCTCTTACCTCAATTTGAAGAACAAATAGGACAGAATTAACAAAAGGAAAAATTCACATGTAGACTCATAAAAAACATTCAAAGAAAATAAAACTTTTCGTTCCGGAATTAAAACTGTTTTTTGCGTCATCCACGAAAATGTAACTCGTGATTAATCCAGGTAATGTCATGTTCCAAAATGAGTACAAGGTAAAATTGATATCTCGTAAGGAATATTTCCCAATTAGACCACCATGATCAATGTAAACAGCATTCTCTTTGATAATTCAAAGACACCTGAGTATTTTGTTCTTTTGTGAATAATTTGTCCTAGTTTTACTGAATTTGAGTTTGCAGGTGTTATTGACAAGTCCATATTTTCAACATTAGATCACCGTATGCACAGTAAGACATTTTAGATCCACATATCACATAGCAATGTTATTGTTGAACTTTCTGAATTGCCCGACGGACATACATACATACATACATACATACATACATACATACATACATAATTTTAACAGCTAACTAGGCAGAGCATATTCCTAATTTGTATTTGAATCAGCCATCCTTTTAAAATTGCGCATTCCATTGATTTCATTTCAGAGCTCCATCGTTAAGTCGATATTACAAACCATAGTTTTTTTCAAATTTTACCTTATATCTAAAAGCTTCCTTTACCATTGGTTGTATTTTGAAATCAAAATCACCAGTTCAATTGTAAAACGTCTGTGACCTTACTGTATTAACCAAAAACATTGTCTGATTTATATTGAAATCCTGTCTGAACACCATTTTCAATCAATTAAAATTCATGAGTTTGTCGTATAGCTGGCGCGGTTTTAAATTCTAAATTTAACCTCAAATCACAGGGGTCACCTCAGATTTTCTCATTACCTGCAATGATTGAAACAACAATGTTCGATATGGTCAATCATGACTTTTGCAACACTGATGTGAAGCAATCCTAGTGAATAGGTGGTTGGGAAATATAAACAGAAGTAGAAGACATATACTGTTTTGATAACGCGTCATGTGGCAACGCAATAGTTGTAACGTCCTTTCAGTGTCAAACTATATGTAGTTGCTGTACCTGATTTTGTCTGATTTTATAATATTTCTGAGATTTAAACAAGAGGCAGAAAAAAATGATATATTTAATGAAAACTTATCCCCACTCCTTTTGTTTCTTCTGTAAATCGATAAATCAATAATAATTGATGCATTTCATAAACACCATTTTCAGATGAAATCAGTATCAACTTCGTGAAAGCAATCTGGACTACATCTTTAACTCATTAGAAAAGGAATTGTCCTAATAAATATTGTAGATAAGATCGTTATCTTTGTTAACACATAATAACTAACAAAGATATTCTCCTAACATATGATTGCTAGAAATACGTATCATTTTGATTTGTCAACACGTTCTAGATTGTAAACAATACACATATACAGATGGCACAGGTACAAGTAAGTACAACAAAGTTTAATATAACATACATAGTAAAAGTACATGTCGTATCACAGACTGAAGAATATCACAATAACAATGTATAGGAAACTGAGGAATGATGATGCTATAGATATCAATTTAAAAGTTTTAGACATTCTGTAACAGGGCCGCTCACCATTTTTTAAATTTAAAACTTTAAACATTATTGTTCATTTCAAATCCATCTCATATATTATGTATTCTAACTCCATCACAGATGGAAATATTGGAAACGATTACATGGCGTTTACAAGAAAGGAACGTATCCGAGTGTAATGTTTACACACATGTACATAAAGAAAGGAACAAAAATGACATGATCATGTTCTTAACATGCTGCATGCTTTATGGGTGTACGGTTATACAAAGTAACATCACACACAAAGCACTCGGTGAAAATACAACACATCTATAGTAAATGTTACTAGTAATGATATGGCCAAACACAAGTTATCATATATAAATCAGTTATCACATCGATGAGCACTATCAACATCACAGAGCTTTTTTTACTAGTCCGCACTTTCTGCATCTCTCGATTTCGAATATAATGCTTTGTTTCCGTTGGTTGTAATACCTGATTGTCACTCTGGCGAGTCAGTGAATCAGTTATACTACAAATTGTTAACACCGCATTGACAGCCAATATGTTCATGCAGGAATGCATATCTTCTAGATTAATGGGACTAAATTTCACAAACACATACACTGCCAGAGTCCATTCTATTTTAGACAATGTCTTATCAGTCCGTCGTTACATCCTATTTTGGCGTTTTGAGGACTTGAATGACCTGATGATATATCAATAGGAAGTTATGATCTATTAGATGATAAAAAAATCAGTTGTGAAACAATGATGATCTAATATCACATGAAATACACACTGCTGATACCAAATCAGCACACATTGAAGTGTTTAAGCATGTCCACATGAAGTCGTGGTCACTTTACAATGTAAAATGATCACGGTCATTTTCAACCACGAATGAATATAGAAAGTTATCACAGACGTCTTCTCGGAAGTTTGGAATGGTCACCCATTGTTTGTAATAGGTGGTAGTGGATGCTTGTCGGTTTGTGGTACCGTCACCGGGGCAACAGGATGGACTGGTAAGGGGGATAGTAATCGGTTATCAGCATCAGGTGTCCCAATCTCCAGGGCATCTCGTGGAGACATCGTCTCTATAACACATTCTGTAACAAATAATACATTTAATTGTTTTAGAAAGTTTTACACCATAGTACATATTCGATATTCCCGATGAAAATATTTGCTTAAAATTTATATAACTAAATTTGCTTGTTAAATGTGTCCTCATAATGGGTAAACGATCAAATCTAGAAATGAATTATAAGATGAAAAGGATGCTGAATATCAATGATAAATATTTATGTATAATATATATGGAATCACATTTATATTGAATTGCAATTGTATTTATCTGAAAATTATAAAAAAAATATATTTGCTATACTCTTATTAATACAAGTTCATAATCATAAAATGTTTGCATTCATGGTGACAATAGCGAGACAAAGGGATTGGATATGAATTAAGATCTTTAGAATAAGAAGGATACTGTTTATAACGGGATAGGAAAACAGGGATAAATATACACAAGATCAGAAATTTTATCTGTAGGGTATTTAGGCAAAAATTAAATTATATGAGGAATGATGGGAGACAATAATCGATCATATCAAAGCTATTGGGTTCATATCTCAATTAGGTTGGTACAGCGAATATCTATTATAGCAAAAGGTTAACAATTATGGGAGAGAAATATAAGTAGTTATTCCTACATTGATTCGTTGCTATCACCTTCCTATGTCAATGCCCTAATAATACGAGATGGTAACCTTTCCACGGAACCAGGTATTATTGAAACCATGATTAATAAATCCAGTAAAGTAAGGTTGTATCATTGTAGAGCGAAGCTGTGATATCTATTCATCATCTACTTAACTAGTTGTTAGTGATATCGCTAGTTGTGCTAATAGTATATTCTATATTTTGTCAGTTTCAATGAAACCATTAAAAGATCAATTTCTCCATTGAAATGAACATTAGAATAAATTATCGTCAATCGACATTTCCCAACAGAATAATTAAATTTAGAGCAAATATTTTTTGTCCTAATATGCCAATAGAGAACATGGTTTCAATTGTGAATCAGACAGTGACATATATAAATGCTATTTTTAGAACATGAAGATGATATTGTAAAGGTTTAAATCAACAAGTACAATATGATAAATTACAATATCAGGAATTGTTGTAACAACTATGTAAAACAGATTAATTACACGATATCCAGGGTTCCGTTACAAGGTGGTAAAAGTAAATTTGTAGAACTATATAACAAACTCATGCCCTACAATACAAAATGTGTGAAATATTTTATAAAAATGACCACGACAGTTATATCTACTCACGGACATGTTTATCTCCACCGACTAAAACCGTGAATGGAAATGACCTTTAAATGGATATCAAAACATACTATAGACCTATGTGACAACCGGTGTTTCAGTGATATCCTTACCAACAGATATATTAATACACTTAACCTAGTTATACCTGTCAACAATACAATGGCAAACAACCATTGCCAAATAGCAGATTGACCTAAAATGAAATTTAAAACAAAATTGGTTGCAGATATTGTCTCATATAAGACATATAAGAGCGATTTCAGGGTGCCAAAGGCCAACCTTCTTATGTGAAAAGAAATAACAATGTTATCGAACCGTGAGCGAACAATATTTAATGAGAAAGGATACTTAAAACGAAACGTCGCCTATCAAATATGAATATATGTTAGAGCCCCTGGCCACACCTCAAGTGTTCTTTTCTAATCTCTACTTCACAGGTACTCGTGAGGTAATTGTATGAGACTCGAGGTAAACACGTCACAACCATGTCAGTTAAATAATTACACAACCTAGTCATTAACAACTTCTCCCTCTGTTGATAAATCAACTACTTGACTATTTTCTCTGGTCGCGAAATTTAATTGGCTCTATGTACACTTTGTTGTAGAGGTATTATGGGTTGAATGACTTTTATTTCACTATAGTATACCATGTAGGATGTCTTGTAATATAGAAAGTGATTGTCAACATGTTTGACTCTTCCAACGTCCAATATAATACTACCTCACACAGTATTGTAAATGAAATAAACGTTTTAAATGAAAGCTGTTTGGTATTTGCAACTAGAATCAAAATTAAAAGAAAATTCTACAGGCAAAATCGATATCGCCTATTGTGTTAGGATGAATAGTATACTGTACGGCCCAGTAAAATTGGGAAAACATGTTATTTTGGCATGGGTACAACACAGCAGTTCCCTCGGGATGATATTTATTTAATTAAAATGTGTCTACAGGATTCTAGCTTTCGAACGATACTTACAAAAATCAAATCCCATGGGTATGAAACGAAATAAAAGATACAACCGTCAGAAAATCAACACAATGATATTTGATCATGTAACTTAAAACTCTACGCGGAGCGAAGAGTTTTAAATATCAATATTTAACCAATTTAATCCCCAATTTGCCTAAACTTGTTGAACAGTCTGGAATATTCTGACATATAGATTAGTTCTGGTCATATCTTAACTTAACAATTTGATAGTAATTCTATCCGGAATTATTACATATGCATCGGTGTAAATAATATATATAATATTTAATATACTGTAATGCTATGTAAAATAAACCAAGCATATTGTGAATACAACAAGCGAAACTCAAATACTAATATGATATGATGTTCTATAGGCTCGGTGATTTCATTACACTAAAGAACGGATAAAAACGATAACTGAATACATTACTTAGATATGATGGTAAACGAATGCAATTTGATACAGAGAATCAGCAACGGTCCTATTGTTCAGTCAGATGGAGTTAATGAACAAAAGATATTTTCCTGTTCCCCGTAAAGAATGAATTAATGATAAGACATAATGAATTATAATGGAGTCTTGTTTATCTTTAACAATAGAAAATGATTGTAGAATACCGCAGTGCAAGGGTAGAGTACAGACTCCTTCAAAACTTATATATAAATTATTACCATAGATACATAGGTAACATTACGAGTATTAGAGGTTTATACCATTCAGAAGTATACTTTGTTAACAGTTTCCTTAATGCGTACGTAACAAGATACCTGTTACGTTAAACATTATAGCAAACATATTTATGTTGCAGCTGTGATGACAAACAATATAATTAAAAACCAGATTAATGTAGGTTTGGCCTTCACATAATGAATAACATAAATGAAATTGCTAGTTTCCCAAGTAAACTGAATATGTGTTTTATAAGTTATACGCTATTGAAATGTAATTTAATGGGTAACATTTTCATTGTATTTTCTAGACATGCAACTAGTCTATTGTAGTATCTGGAAATTCACACCCTAAGTCAAAGCATACCGCTAAACTAAGCCTTTCCATTATAGATTTTAATGACTTCAGAACGTGTAAAGCTGCAGCATTAGATCAAGGCATTATATTATTCACATCTTAGAATATTGCAATTATTTGTTAGTACAGAACCATAGTTCAACATTCACGTGAAAAATTTTGTGTTTTCCGATTCACATGCTTTTCTGTGAAAACTGGATTGCAGTTTATATATAACCGAGATTTCCTTTTCATTATCAAACAAGATGCGTTTCGTTTTCTGGGTTAGAAGCAGCTAACGATTGCACAAAGAAACTTGATGAGCATGCGTAAAAAGACAAGATATAATGACTGATTGAAAGTATTCTACTTGAGTTTGGATTACCTCCGTTAATTGGTGGTAAATATTTCCCTGAAATACAATTGACGATAGACAAGATGATAATAATAAAATGGTATTGAATTAGAAGAGATTGCATATATATGGATTTGATATTATGACAATGAGATGTAGATATGCTATACATTTACATCCATCACCATGCCATGAATATCACAGACTGCATAGGATGATTATTGGTGAAAAAGTAACTGATAAAATGAAAAAGATCAAATATGCATTATTTATTGAGAGATGTACTGAATGTAGTAACACATATATCAAAGGGATCGTAGAATAAATCGAAAAATGAAATATAAACATTGACACACGTGTTTCCATGTTATGCTATCTTCGTAAACTAAAATTGGTAGGTGTTGTTTACATGTATATATCTATTCTAATGTTATATAGATAGAATAAGGAGCAACCGTAAGACACGTTATTTCAAGTTTCAAGAATCAGTTGGAACCTTTCTAGTTACTAGTCTCAAACTGAACAAGAAAGAAATAATTTGTTGGTTTTCTTTGTCCTTGCATCTTTACCATTCACATTTCATATACCATTCCAATGTTAATTAGCATGCATCATTATACGGAATGCAAAAATCATACATTAATCTAAATCAATGTGTAACTGAAGTCTTTACACGATCCACAAAGACATCGTTAAGTGAGGCATGCATTAGCTGTGAGCTTACCTGGAAATCTCCGAATATCAAAAATGTCTTTTCGAAAAACACGAACTAAATATACATAAAGAATGAAGAGTTATATAAAGTCAGTAAAGAGAAAGATAAAGATAATATAATGATTGGAAAAAAGAAAGAAAGAGATGGTATCATGAAGTCATAATTGTGATGTACACAAAGCAATATTTCAATACTACATATGTTTTTTTTTATGTAATTGTTGGTCTAATATATATGTTTTATATATTTTGTGATTACTTTAACTAACACAATAGTACTTAATTTTTTTATGAAAGAGTGGCGTGTCTGAAACAATACATTATTATTTTTTAAAAAAATCGACCAAATGAAGCGATCTTTACCTTGAGGAGGAACCTGTTTCTTTTCTTCGTCATGTACAACATTTTTCTTTTTCTTCAGTTTAAGACAGATGATAACAACGCCGATAATGATCAATATGAAAAGCAAGCCTCCTATGGCGGCTCCAACAAATAGTCCAATACTGCCGCTACTGGTCTCAGTGGAGGCGGCTGAAGATAAAACATATACCACAGTGCTTTAAAACAGGACAATGCATACGGTCAATAATTACTTTCTCGTGATAAAATACATCAATGTAATGTAAGTAATACGAAAAGGAATAACGTGTGCGTAAAATAGGACACAATAACGTAAAAATATTAGCTACATTTGTATATTAAAAGGACCCCTGATAATGGTAGCTATAACACAAATAATATTTTCCATTCTCGAAATAACAAAATTGATGCAATGGACGTTTTAAGAACATAAAAGAAAATATGGACAGGTTTCTTCTGAAACAAACTGCAACTACAAATGTTAACGTACATGCATATAGATGTAATTATGATGTAGTTTTTGATGTTCTGTTCATTTTCATTTCAAATTTGATAGTATATTTCCAAGCATAGAATGATATACCGAAAATCTTGTAAAGTTGTATCTAAATTATAACACTCAGTCACATTGTTTCCCTAAAAAAAACCGATTGGCAGAGACGATCGATCAAAGGGCATCTAATGACATTATATATCGATTAAAGGGCATCCAATGCCATTATATATCAATTAAAAGGCATCAAAATGACAAGAAGTTAATATCTCTAATGATAGCACAGAATTTTGTCAATACAACTAATTAATTAATAAAGAATAAGTTTCTTTCCTTCTGTAATCATTTAATGTATATCAGAGAACTGAAAGAACTGATTTATCAATCTTTAAGATAAATGGAAATCAATGAATTTATGTATAATCCACACACAAGAAGGTGGAGATTGGAAATTCGTTGTTATGAGAGAAATGTCTTATAAGCAAGATATAAATGAAGGGACAGAAGCTTGAAAACCTGAATAAGAGATATCGAGTTAACACAATCAGATTTAAAAAAAAAAAAAAGAAAAGAGAAGAAAAGAAAAAAAAAAAAAAAAAAATCAAGATACAAAATTGTTAACATTTTAACAGGCACCATATTATATATATTGAATATAACTAAACTGGATTAAAATTATGAAATAAATAGAATAAGTGTATAATGGAACCCCATTAATCTGGAAGTGAAACATAAACCCCATTAATCTGGGGATATGCATAAAAAATAACAACGAGGTCACAACATGACATTCTATGCAAAGCAAGACAATTATCCAATTAATGATGAGTGTAAAATGACGCTTCTTTTATTCAGGTAAGAAACACATGATTAACTAAAGATATCCCCCAAACGCCCCCTCCCCCATCACATTTCACTGATTAATCAGGACGGACATCCGAATTAATGGTGTTCCTTTATACATTATAATCAGTAGTTCACCGGTCACATGCACAGTGTACAATGTAACCATGATAGAGGCAGCAAATCCAGCTCATTAAAGAGATAGAAAAATAGTCAGTGAAAAAATTCCTTCAATTGTGATGTCTATAAACAAAATACAAAGCTGTTAACAACGGGAAGACATTTCACAAGCAGATATTAATCGCAATAAATCCTAGAAAATAAACATTCAAAACATCAAAGCAGACTTTAAATGCAGCAGCAAACAATAGAAATTACATCGTTTCTACAACAAAATTTTCTTAATGAATTACGCATTCCAGTGACATTTTGTCAGAGAAAGCGAACATTTGACAACTTATATTGATTTCATTACCACCATTAGCTGTAGTAGCACTAGAAGTTGTAGTAGTAGTAGTAGTTGCTGCTGTAAAACGACAAATGTATCATGTAAAATAGCAAAGTTGTCGGCGATAAAATATGTTGTTCGAAAGACATCAAATTAAGGTAGATATTCAGAAAAATATTTTCAATTTCTTAAAGACATGTAGACAAAATGATATTGTCCTTTTTTAAGAATGGTGTAAATAGAAACTTATTATACGTTTCATATCTAATTTATTGCTTTATAATGCATATTGCATTAACATAGACTTCTCCAAAAATTCAACATTACATGTTCTCCTATGCTAAAGCTGTAGAACAACATACTATGTAAAATACTTTCATTATTGATTATGAGCTTTTTCCTATCATCCTATGATTTTGTGAATAATAATTTTACAGTTAATATTAGCAGTTTACTGTATCTATAAATATGTTAACATTTTTAACATCAAATACAAGAAAATAGATTTGCTTCCTGCCAACATATCATGACAGTTATACTGATAAATGCTAAACAATTATGGATGGCAATTCACCATGATATATTCATATACTCTAACTAAGTACAAATAACATTGTTACACTGCTATATCCTATTATAAGGTGTTAGTACCTCTATCCTTCAAATTAATAGTGGGATGTTAACTGACTATCTACAGGTATGCATGCATAAATGATAAGGGGGAAATGTGATTTGCTGAATAAAATACATGCAAATTACTGCCTGAAAATTATTAATAGGGTCCATACCCTGTTCAAACACGGCGCCTCTGAAGGAAGGGGCTACAGTACACATGTAGCTGGTATTTTGGGTAAACTGCAAATGGTTTTTGTAAATAAGAGGGAAATATAACAAAAAATCATCAGGTAAGAGAGATTTACTGAGGGTACTGGGAACCTAGTCCAATCACTTCTAATAGTAAACATTTACCCGTTGCCGCAGTCGTCAGTATCGCTGTGAAACAATAATTAAAATAAGATAGATAGATAAGATATGTAGCAAATAACATGTTGACTCCCCGTGATTTCGTTAAAAGTCAATATCAAACGTACTCTGACTGCATTAGGTTAATCCGGCTACTTGTATTTTTGCGCATACAAACACTTTTATGCCTAAAGTTAAACTGATCTTTCGTCAAAAGAAAGTTAATTACAATCCCTTCTTAAAGCTAGCATACCTTATACAAACTATATTTTTGAATTCGTGTTGCTACAAAATGTAACATTCTAAATAAATTTCAGAGATACATCTTCTGCACAAAAAAACCAATGTAGACCCATATTGCTCGTTCAACATTAGGAACAAACCTACAAAATGTATAAGAAATAAGATTTATATTGTACATACATTATACAATGTATATAAAATTTAATATTGCACATACAATGTATTTGAAATGTGTACATACTGTAGAAACAATAAATATGAGCTTGCTGAAAGGAAAGATAATGTATGACTACATGGATACATTGTATTAATTTTTACTATTTCTACATATCGTTTGATCGGAACAGTTATAACTTACGAGCTAAAATGGTAAGACAATCAATATGACAAATATTATAAGACAACCATACTTCCAAAACGTTTGTCAATATGTCTTTATCAACCTCGATAAACATGATCGGTACTGACCACGTCAATTTATTTATACCATATACCAGCATACATTAATGAAGTGTAAAAAAAATTAATGATAGCATACAGCACTTTCACTAATTATACGTTTGTAAATTCCTGTGTTGTTTTATTTGTATATTCATATATTATTTATTCATCAATGTAATGTTTGAGATTCCAGATCCAGAGATATCCAGATTCGTTTGAGATTTATATGATGATAAAGTGGGAAGGGAATAGGAGCGTGCAGCTTCAGACCTTTATCTTAAGAGAAAACAAAAACAAACCAAACGGAAGGCGACACATATAGTCATCAACACGTTGGTGGCAAGGTATTATGATTATTAAACAGTGAGCAGAGCTTAATCTGAAAGTATGGATTTAAAAGAAGAAAGCAGATTATAGAAAATAGTAACCTGACAGCAAGGATGAAGGTCGTATTGTATAAAAGACACACCAGAGAACAGCACTTTTCAATACCAAGTTAGAATCAGATTCAGTAGTAAATGACGACCAGGATCTACAGTGTTGAAAGGTAGGAGACAAGAGATAGCAATCCAAATTGGTCGAAAGAAATGTGAAAATGAAGTAGATCAGAACATTGGAAATTGGAGACACAAGAGAAGACAAAGAGTGCATTTATGATGTTAAAAAGTAGAATTCTTTTTATCTTGGCATATGATATGCTTTGACTTCTTAATATAGAGAAACGGCAAGTAACAAGAGTTGAAAAAACAAATGGTTTGAAAAAAGGTATTTATTGTTGATAATTTATAGTTAAAGCATGTGGTATGTGCATATCACAATGAAACGTGCATATAAACACAGGATATATAATGTAGAATAGTGAGATCATGACATTCATATTGACACACTCATTTTTTCAGTGAAAAGTGACATTTGAAATCAAGCACATGCAAGAACATAGAAACACCCTCGATTCAAAAACAAACAATAAAATGCCCCTACATGTAGTCGTCGGACTCGTCGTGGTAAATGCTGTGGAATAGCAAAAAGATACAATCCCAAATAGAATTAAAGTAAATATAATCATAATGATCAACTAGATAAGGTGATATATGTTTCATAAAAAATGTCAACAAGCAGATCCAATAATTTGGCATGTACGAAAGCATCGTGATGTTATCATCTTTATTCTTCACTTTTTTTTTTACTTTATAACAATATATACAAATCAGTACAACCAAACTACAATGATTTTAACTTTCCGATATTTCGACAAACATCAATTTGAAATGTATAAGATATACTTACGACATGTGACTGTTCATCCAGAGGAGGGAGGCGTAAAATAGAGAAGACACCATAATTAATAATGGAAATTTAAATACAAGTACAAATTGAATGGTAATGGAATAAATTAACTACAATGTATAAATGAATAGATAGAATACAAATTCTGTCAAACAAAAGACTTATAATTGATTAAGTAAATAAAAAAAAAACATACTTCTCTTAATCGTAAAAAGATTTAATTTTCTTCATTTTGTAAAAGGATACAATGTTAAAACGGGTGGTTTTGTTAGATATAATGCTGCATGTAAACTGTTTGTAGATGTTAGAGCCGATTTCTACTCGGGTATAACACTGGGTCATTGGATGTCATGATATTGCACCACTCGTTTACATAGACGTCAATCCCCCAGAACAGGATGTATAATGGTGTAAGATCACTTCTATGAATTCATGTATTATTAGGTTCTCTGGTTTTCTCCTATAAGAAAATCCATCGCGCTTTTCTTTTCGGACCAACAAAAGTGATGATATAAGATAGAATAATTTGATCCTCAAGAGTTGTAAAATAAAGTTGATATATTATCTACCTACCATAAGGAGTCAGCAGAGCTGTCATTCCTCCTGTTGGGACAGTAGATGGGGTGCCGGTAGGGCTACAGCTGCCGTGGTCTATACTCAGCTGGACGTTCGACCCAGATGCTTCGGTTATCTGAACAATATAAATTATTATTTTAGTTTACGATGAATTCATAAGGTAATGGCGTATTTAGTATGTGAATCATTATCATTTTCTATTATGGGCAATATAATAAATTTTGAGCTATTTCTGGAAGACAACAAGACCTTTGTCATAAAGCTATGGTATTGATATAAATAACGAGTTGTGAATTTATCAATATTCATATATATTCCTGTGACCATATCACACCTACACTTTATCAGATATCATTTTGGCAGACAAAACACATTGAATACAATGATTTCGTTGGACACATGAAACGTGTTAGTAAAATTAAAATTATATGACATGATCAAACAAGACATACCAGGCATGTGAATCGGTACGTGGTGGACTGATCAGTCGTGGTGTCATCGTTGACCAGGGTTATATACGTGTACGATCCGCTAACTAGTGAATATACATTGTACAAAGTACCGCCACCTGCAACGAGAAATTGTCAGATTTTTTTCAGTCGTATTTTTCATGAGTTTTTCCAAAAGAATTGAAGAGCGTGAAATATGAAAAGGCATTGAACTACACTCAAATTTGTTTGAGCATGGAATACTTGGATATGATATTGTCTTATACACTGTTCAATATAAAATATGAATATTAATTATCTATGAAATATCATATTGATCATTGTTTTCACAGACTAAAATCTTCGTTAAAACCAGTTCTTACTTGAATATGCCATTACTGTCGAACACTGTGAATAATTGAACGCTGTATATGTCCTGTCAACGCAGTTATCCCATACACTTCCGGTTCCACACAGCGAACTAGAGCCATCGTTGGCTGTGTATTCGTATGTCCCCAGTAGTAGAGTTGGAAAGTACTGGCCCACGCTTGAAGTAAAGCCTAATAAACCGGAAACACGTTAAAACAACTGAATCATATTGAACCAACATAAAAACGATACATTTCAGTAATAGTATGTGATATGTGTCAACATAATCATTATCCAAATGCATGAAAAAACTAATTCAAAATATCAAGAACGAAAGATTTTCATGGAGACACCTAAAAAAAGTACAAAGAGTACAAAATCAGGTGTTCCTGAAGTGTAAGCATCTTTGCTCTAGAATATGAACAAATCTATAGAATTCTTAAAACAATTTTGGCTGTAAAGCATGGTGTTGCTATGTTAGTGATGTAAAATGTAATGTAAAAAACCACTCTGGTTGGTAAAAAGTATGAAATTTACATCATCATTGGAAACGTTATCACTAGTAATGATACAAGGTTTCTGATATTGGTCATTTTATCACATAGTTAAATTCCTATTTTTAAATGGCAAAATTTTTTTGAAAATATATATTAGTTCCCGATGGACAGGGACTGAAAATACTCATTACTATATCTAGCAGAAATGATCGATGAATATGGAAGAATTTTTATCTGGTTTTATAATTTGGACAGACTTACCTTGCTTGACTAAGGTGTGGTACTCAGCTGTTGAAGGTCCACTTGTTGGGGAACAATATTTGCTAGCTGATCCCATAGCGATGGCGGAGTCTTCTATAAAAACACGGAAATCTCCTGCATTTGTCTCCGTATCTACAAAGCAACATAACCTTAGGATAAGTTTGGTGTTATACATCTTTTATTGAAAATTTCATTCCAGTTTTTTTTTATCTTATACTCACTACTTCAGCAATATCATATGCAATACCATTAATTAAGAGTTCTCATGGCCATACATATACAGTATATTTCATTTTAAGAGGAAGAAATGGATGAATTAGGAATTACCAAAAGGAAGTCCTTTTTATGCAACATATTTATATTGTACATTGTAACTCCCTATTAAAGAAAGTTTGATAGCGGCGGGGTTGATCATGCATATGGTAGTTGAAATTGGCACATTTCCAGCATCACAGATCGCTCAGTTTATTAAAGAAATCTCAAATTAACCGAAGACTGATTTTATTTACAATACTTTGCAATTAAGCAGTTCATTTCAATTGCAATAAATTTCAGAAATCAATAAATGTTGAATTGAAATACCGAACAAGTGACCTGGGTTGACACGAACAATTTGTTTGTGTATGGTGCCTGACATAAGTGTATATCGGATTTTAATGGATGTCTAAATTTGGACCCTCTTATGTACTACAGTGTTAATAGAAACTTACTTGCCCGCAGGTAGTAAATGTAAGAATATGTGCTGACTTCAGTCCATGCCATACATATATAGGCGTTCTGGGGCTGCCCGAACAAATTCACCGTCGTGTCACCACTATCATTTATTAACAAAACCATTAAACGAAGTAAGCAACGTTATCACATCCAATAAACAATTGCGATTAGAAATTTGGAGACAGAGTCCTATCAACATTATGCCAGAAACATTCAAAGGAGTGAAAAACTTTGAATTTTTCTAGATAACAATTACAAATATTATTTCTGTTTAGCGTTGCAGGTGCATTCTTCTTAAAATTAAACATAACGATGACAATATGGGAATCAAATAGATATATTTTATAACTTATATATCAGTTGTACGCTGGTGTTATTTCATTCTGTAATTAACGTTCCTTCATTCGTTCGAATAGTATAGTAGGGAGAAAATGGTTTGACAATGTAATTAAAGCCTTACAGGAACACGATGTATCTATTTGTAGTATCCTCCAAAACACATGTCCAGCTGGACACTGTGGATGAATAGGCCGTCACTGACCACCCCGTTACTGTAATGGCACTACCTGACCAGCTCATTGCAAACGTGCCATCGAACTGACTGTCATACCAGTTTCCAGTCCACTGTGATGACGGTTGCGTGCATGTGCAATCTGAAAAGAAGAATGCTACATTGATCGAAGATGATAAATACATTTATCACGTCACTGCCCTATTATAACACTCATTATATACTCACCTGTAAATTAACATAAATGAAGACGTGATTTGATAAACGATCCTGTTGTTTCAGTTGGATCGTTGAGAAAAAAAAAAAAAAAAATACCAACATGTCAGCATAGTCATAATCCAAACTCAATGTCAATAATACTAGTGGAAAATATTAAGAAAAAGAAAGATTTACATGGAGACTCATGAAAAGTACAAGGAGGGTAAGTGTCTTCTGCTTCATAGACGGCACCCGCTATGTAAACCGTGATCAATCCAAGTAAGTAATGTCACGTTCTCAAAATGAGAACAAGGTATAAGAC